ATATTAAATAAGTGTGTAAAAACACACTTATCAGTTGTCTTTATGTATTGATGTTTTATGGCTCTCTCTATATGTTAGTATTCTAGTCGTACCCTTAATCCTTTTTTGGAAGGTATGATGTTTATAGATATATTTCTATCAGAGCTCATGTGATAATCAAATTCTCTTTATAGTTTTACTGACAATATATTCAAGTAATTACTTGTCATATGTACTTTGTTGATTAGATAAAAGTTAAAATATTTCTTGATATACCTTTGATTTACTTGCTCACTTTAAGTTTTTTATTTATATCCTTATTATTTCTGTGGTGTGTAGGGAGTTCATATTCTTTGGGATAGCTAAATTTTCGGTCAAAGTAGTAAACTTTGATATGGTTTAATTATTTTTTATGAAGTAGTAGTCTGTAATTTTTTAGAATTGTTGAGATGAATTTTACATTGACATATTGTATTGAACCCTACTCAATATTTCTATTTATCGAAACAATGGAAAACTTGATTATATATGGATTAATTTTGTTTTGTAATTAGTATAGGTTTGCTAGTAACAAAATAAATAAACAATTTTAAAAAATTAAATTGACGTTTATGGCGTGTTTAGGCACACCATAAAAACACTTTTCACTGACTACTAAAAAGAAAGCCATAAAGTAGTAAATTTAATACTTTGAATGTCGTTTAGAGGCATGCCATAAAAGTATCTCACATTTACAGCATTCATTCTGTGAATGTCGTAAAAGGAATTAAATATATGGTGTACGCACTAACACACAATAAAAAGCAAGATGCTTTTTACCTCGTGTAGCTGAATGCTGTAAAATGAATAACAGCGTTCTCTATATGGCCTACTTTGTACATTGTAAAAAAAATAAACCACTTTTAACGACATTGATTTATACATCATTTTGTTGTACGCTGTAAAAAGTTATTTACAGCATACAATGCATGTCATAAAAAATAAACTTTGTTGTTATGTAATACCCTTAATCGAATAGCAATAAAGAGTTGTAACAATTAATGTCTAATTTATAAGCCAAATCGAAAGCAAAGTTTTTTTAAATTTTTGAGATGTATTGCTAAAATATGTAATTCCCCTTGTTAATCCATTTTTAGTTCAACAATTGAAAGTGATAATTTCAGATCATTCTTGTTGGTCAGTGTTCCTATTTTATCTGAAGTTTCTCTCGATAGCTATTAAATCTAAATTTACACGCGACATTCCTATATCTCTATGAAAGATATGAATATGCAAGAAAGCATTAACAGAGTTAGAACATTTATAGAAATCATGTGAGGTATAGAAGTATATCTCTATCCTCTATCGAACCTCATAATGTTTATCACTACGTGCTAATGATTCTACTATTTCTATCAATGATAATAAAACCCACAAACAAAAAAAAATAATGTCCAATTAATTGAAAAACAAATTAAACAATAATAAACATCCAATCATTTGACAAATTAATGTCAATCCAATTATTTAAACCAAAAATTTCATAACAATGGTTCATCTCATCTTAGCAATATAAAAATCTAGCCGAGCATGTTGGAATTACAAGAAATCATTAGAAGTTTAATAAATATCACCCGAAAATTGAATAATTGAAGAGAAACGATGGATTCTTGATATATCTTGAATTTTTCTCCCAATGCTTATGCATGTTTCCTGGTATGAAGTCTCCTTGATAATCTTCTTACAATTCCTCGGTTGAACTGTCTCACAAATTTGACTTTTGCCATCTTCTTCAATGTATCTCTCTCAAAATTTTCAAGTTATTGAATTATTTTGTTGCATAAAAGAAGCTCCCCTATGTGCATGAGACATTATGGTATTTATATGGCTCAAATTTAGGTCAAAAATATGGCCCAAAATCTTGTCAAGTTGAATTTTAATTGTATAGGAAAATTTGAGATTCAGTCGAAATTTTGTACAATGCAATTCTTGCATGCGACCGCATAGTTCAATTGTTGAACTCCAAACTCTTCCCTGCATGGTGGAATGCAACCACATGGATTTTGAACTATGCGATCGCATAGTTTCAACATGCTTTCCATTTTGTGCATTTTGGTCCTCATACTTTCAGGCAACGTCTTTTTCTCCCCTTTTTTATCCATGTTGAACCTTTTTTAAGTTCTAAATGCATCCCATTGAACCCCCAACATCTTCAATCTACGATTCATGGTCCGATTCAACTATTGGATTGTTGCAACTTGGTCCCCATATTTTAGATTTCACTATTTTTCTAGATTTTTCTTTTGTTTCTTCCAATTCTTTGTTCAACCATTGACTTTACCTATTTAACACAAAATACAGCAATTTAGACTATATTTCATCAAAGGAATAACTAAATATCATTTTTTTATGGCCCTGAATAAGTATACAAAATACACTTATCACTATATTAAATTTAGAAAATTAAATTCCTTTTACTGTGATATCAAAATATAACGAAGTTTACCAAAACACTTGAAACTCTAGACATATACTCTATGGTAGATAAAATTTAAATATAAGAACTAATCGTTAAAACGCTTAAAATACAAGAGTGCATATCGCCACATACATCAATCTCCGTACCCCCATATGCTTGGGATCCTAGACAATAATTTTGGCCTTTCTTAATTTAATGTGTCAATGGCATGGGTCACCTTATGGAATGAACCGTAGGTACTATTTAATGTTGTTTCTTCAATAGTTTGTGTTGACTTCGATTTGTAGCTGGTTCAAGTTATGATGTACTGACTTGTATATGTCTTGATAGTCTCTAGTACAAGCTTCGGATTCAGTTACTTGTAGTATTGTCTTAGCACAAGTTTCAGCCTCTCAGACACAACTTATCATATACCACGCTATTGTCTTGAACTTTCTATCATGACAACGCATTATTTATTGGCTTCAAAGAGTGCTTGAGTATCTTATTTCATTCGTGCTTACTATTTGAGTTGGATAGGTGTCTAGGCTTAGTCTTGATAAGTGTATTTTACGTGCTTATCCGGCAGCTAAATTTGAAAATTTATTTCGAATTAAGTGGATATCTACCTGATTTAATGTGAATATGATAATAGGAAAATCCCATACTTAGAGATGCAATTGATGCAAAGAAGTGCATTATTTAGCTTAATTGAAGTTGGTTCGGAGCAATTGAAGATCAATTGAATTGTGCATGATCAATTAGCATAATAAAGATAGCACTTGGAGAAGATTTACAAGTTTAGGATCAAAATCTAACATTTAGAAAGTTCAAGGATTTATTACAAATTTTTGAAACTTACATATGATCAATTATAGATGGTTGTAGAGGATGAGAATCAAATTTTTTAAAGATTTAAATATGAAGAACCCATAATGCAAATAAGGAAGGATTCAAGATGAACAACAAGAGAAATAGAGGGAACAAGTTGTACGAGAATCAAAATAAAGGGCCTTGCGATCAAAATTGGAACACCCTGCTAACGCAAGAGAATAGAAATTCCAACCGCAAGCCAAAAATGTAACTATGGGATTGCATAGTATTATTTAGCCCAATCCAATTTTGTTTTCTATTTTGATTCAACATCTACTTTAAAAGTGATTAGAGTACGAGTTTTGACCTAATCTTGGAGGTTATAAATACATTCTTCATCTACCAAAAAAAGGAGGAGGCTATTAGGTTAAAAAAAAATACATATTTTTTTACAAAGAAGAGCTTTTCCAAGGAAGTTGTTGAATACAAAATACATATTTCTTACAAGCTTTAGAGAAGCTTTTATATACAAAACACACATTCCATACCAAATTCATTCATAAATGATTGATTTGAAGAAGAAGAAGAAGAAAGAGATTCAAGGATATTGATCAAGTAGTCATTGAAAAGATTATTAGATTTCAAGATATATTTATATTTTCTTTGCAAACTCTGATTCCTCATGATGTTATCTCAATCTAATTTGTGTTTTTATAATAAGATGATACTTGGCTAATTGTATAAATGCTAAGATTACGTTGAAGCCTATATTTTGATCTTTTGATATTTAATTTCATATTTTAACAATTGAATGTTTATTTGATTTTGAATATTTGTTATGATTTAAAAGTGTTTTCAATTAATTGATCATTAATTGATGAGATTTGTGATACTTATTGATATTGCAGAGAAGGAATAGGAATTAAAGCACGTAGTAACAACTATTGTACTGATAGAGGATAGAGATATATTGCTACATATGTTTTGCATGATTATGAATGTTCTTGCAAATTGTACTTTTATATATTCGTATCATTCATAGAGATATAATAGGCTTATAATTGAGAATGTATTTAATTCTACTAGAGAGAGATTATTAAATGAGCTATGAACATTGATCTTTAAGTCCGAATATACATTATCAAAGTAATGGAACTGATATATGGAATAATGTACGGAGATTCAAGATCTTAGTGTTGACCATTGATTGAGTTTCACAAAAGCTTCCCAACCAATTAGTTAGATTAATTATATTTTTAATTTGTTAATATAAAGTACCTGATCAAGTTTTCTGTTCAATTAAAGTTAGTGTGAGTTTGAACTAGAGTAAATACATGTCGTCATGTAAACGATGGTCAGGATTTGTAGATTCACTTTATATGTTGTCCACTTGCAACATCATTTTCAAGTGCAACAAAAAGAATAATATCAATTTTATTAATTTCGTAGAAGTACACACAAGGACATGAAAAAAAAAATCGAAATCACTTGATAAATCTTTCTTGATAGTGTCCAATATAACATGATATGCCCTGTTTGATTTAGTTTAAGTCAAAGTCATTAATTAAAATTTTAAATACATTTTATAAGGCGCATAACTTAATCAACTTTTTAATCACACATTTAAATAAAGTTTTTCAAAATCTATTAAAAATTTAATTTTTAGCAAACTAAAAGAGGGGCTAAGAGAATTTCCTATCAAATTATTAATGATTACTGGCCAGGAGGAGGGAATGACTTCATTTAATTGAGAATGCCTCAACTAGATAAATTCATATACTTCTAGAAAGTAAAATTAAACCCACTGTCCAATTTCAAGTTTTCAACTAGGAAAATTTCCAGTCTTCCAAATGTGTTCTAGGGTTTTTTGTAGGCCATGCTTGACGACTGCCTTTTTTCCTGCTCTAAACCCATCTCCGTAAGATGGCGATGAATGTGTTTCAATCTGGTATTTATAAAATTCCCCAAGTTTCTTCTCATAAGCAGGGTTTTCTGATGAATCAGACATGAAAATAATTTGGTATTCCAGCCACATATGTGCAAGCACCTGACAGATACCTTCAGCTACATCTTCAGCGAGAGTCCCATAACCTGTGAAAAAACAAGCATATAATGAAGTTAGATTAATTCATTTATCAAATGTCCATGATACTTGACATGCACAATTTTCATAAATTAGCAGCAGCGAATCTTGAATTCAAGACTTTCGTCTAATGTGATATACTATATCGAACCACCTTGTTTAAAATTTAAACTCTTAAAGTGGGTATATATAAATTTATTTATTCAAGTTTTTGACTCATTATATATATGATTTTAATCTATTAATAAGTGAACTCAAATGTGTTAGGTAATTTGTTGTCAAACGACCTCCCCAAGCTATGATATTACTCGGTTTAATTTTTCATTCAGCTTAGCCAAATGATTGAACGGGAATCCAACATCACATTCAAGACGGTACGACTCAAAGGTTAATTGGGCCACTCGAAGCAACCTAAATAATTTAGTGTTGCTCATGGCTCAATCCACTTCCTTGGATGGCCATTAATTGAGAGAACAACTAGTGAGCCCGCTTAACTATCTCTTGGGCCTCAAACTTGACCCATTGGTTAACCTACATATACTTACCTTATTTGGGCCATTTGGTTATAAGATAAATTGGTCTCTTTCTCTCAAAGTGAGAGACGCCTCACTGCCTCTCTCTCTCTCTCGGCCGATTTCACGTGTTCTTCTTTTACTCTTTCTGCCTCTTTGTGACTACTATCTAGTGGTGATATTGTATGAGGTTTATTGCATATTTGTGGTCTCCTAAGTGAAATAACTCATTGGCAACAGGAAGTGGAAGTTTGGCATTGTCTTGGGTCATTGTTGTAAGCTTGTGGTTGTTAGAAGTGGGTTAAATAAATAAACTAAGCCTGGGCTATCTTTGGTGCTCAATACATCTTCTACATCTAGTATTAGAGCGTGGGTTACCATTACCTTGCGAAAATGAATTCCAAATTGGAAGAAATCAACATCTCCTTCAATCAGACCAGATCTGAAAGCTTCAATTACTTCCAAACCGGACCTCCGTTGGACAAACGGAGGCCAAACCCCGGTGGTCGTGGTGCGTGGCAGAGGCTACAGTGCGTGGGCTGTCCTACAGCGTGATTTTTCTGCCATTTCATTTATTTAATTTTTCTGAACGTTTTGATGTGTTTGGTATAATGTTTCAGGTTGCACAAGGAAAGTTGAATGATTTTGCCCCGACCTCAATTTGCATTTGTTGCTGATCGGAACTGTTATATTTACTAAATCTTTAGAGTAAATAGTGGTGGCTCTAAAGCAGTAAATTCATATTTCTCCACATTACGGACTCAGATTGATCCGCTCTGGTAAATTGGCTGAAACCTTTTAAATTTTCAGACTAGCAAATTATCGTGTGAGGTGATCATTAGAATTGGGGTTTGTCATTGCTTGACAACCATTGCTTGTGCTAGAAAATTAGGATTACTTGCTCTTAATTGTTTGATTGAGTATCTATCTTTTGATTGAATCAGTATTTAGTTCTTAGTGATATACTTGCTGTGAAACTGGTTATTTGTTAGACGTAACTTTTGTTGCATTGTTATTTTCGCTACTTATTAATTTCGTTAGAATTACCGTGACCTTACCCGTTCGAAGATTTCTTTGATCTAAGACCGCGAGTCTTACTACACCCTGAAAATCTAGAACGACGTATACTGTCTGTGACCTAGGACCACTTTGTGTGGTTTGATTGTGTTTAGTGCATTCTTTGACTGTTGTTTGAAGATGACAACTCACAACTTTGATTTGGAGATTTTAAACGAAAAATGTGATTTTTCTATCTGGCAAAAAAAAATGAAACGTATTTTAATCTAACAAAAGGTCTCAAAAGCCATCGAAGGCAATTTTTCAATTGATTTTTCAAAAGAACAAAGAGAAGAAGCCAATGAGCTTGCTTATACCTCAATCATTTTATACTTGTTTAACACCGTTTTAAGAAATGTGGGTAAACTGAAAACCAACAAAGAACTTTGAAAAAAGTTGGAAGACTTGTATTTGGTTAAACCTATACCAAATAAACTTTACCTGCTTCAATGCTTTTTCAATTTTAAAATAGATCATTCAAAGGATCTTGATGACAATTTATACGTGTTTAACAAATTGATGTAAGATATAGTTAATTGTGATGAGGTTGTGTCCGAAACTTATAAGGCTATAATTTTACTCAATGCGATACCTGATTCTTATAAGAAAATTAAAAATATTATTAAGTATGGTAGAGATACTTTGATACCTGAAATTGTCATAGATTCACTTAGGAGTAAAGAGATAGAAATTAGGGCTGAAAAACACGGTAAGAGGAGCGTTCAGTTACATATGATGCGGGGTAGAACTCAATTTAGGCAAAATAGTCATGATGGATACCAATGTGGTGGCGAGTCGAGTGGTAATTGATGAAAAAAGAAGGGCAAGGATAAATCTAGACCAAAATCTAGGAATAAGGCTAGAAAATGCTATAGCCATGGGAACACATGACATTTTATAAAAGATTGCCATAAGGAGAAGGGTAAGTTAAAGACTAAGGAGAGAGATGAGGTAAATGTGTTATCCTCTATGTCTAGATAGATAACGGTGATATCTATATAATTACAAGTCCCGTTGCATACACTGCTAAATTGAATATAACAGTTAATTCCTACATGCATGAGTGGATACTTTATTCTGGTGCATCTTTTCATGTGATATCTGAAAAGAATTGGTTTGATAACTTACATTAATCTTATACTGGGAATGTTATGCTATGTGATAACTTTGATTATACTATTGCTGGAATTGATAACATAAATATAAAAGTTTACATGGGTTTTGCATATACATTGAAGGATGTTAGATATATTCCTGAATTATCTAGGAATTTGATTTCAGTAGGGAGACTTGAAAAGGATGACTTTACTGGCAAAGTTGGAAATGGTATGCTAAAGATGACTAAGGTTGCATTAGTTTCCATTAAGGGAACTAAGAAAAATGACATTTATATCACTACTGGGGGAAGTAATTAGAGGTTTGAATCCCTCCATCTCTTCTGCCAAAATTGATCACACACATATGGCATAATAGACTTGCACACGTAGGCATTAAAGGATTAAAGTTACTTAATGAAAAAGGTGCATTTAGTAATGACTGTGTGTCAGATTTGTCATTTTGTGATCACTATGTGCTTGGTAAGTATCATAAAACTTCATTCTCCATGAGTATTCATAAAGCTAAAGGCATGCTTGAATATGTGCATTCTGATCTGTGGGATCCTGCTAGTAATCCCACATCGAGTGGGAATAGGTATTTCCTATCTATTATCGATGACTATACTAGAAAAGTGTGGACCTATTTATTGAAAGATAAATCTAAGACTTTTCATAATTTTAATAACTGGAAGAGATAAGTGGAAAACCAAATTGACAAGAAGATCAAATTTTTGAGGACAGATAATGGTCTAGAATTTTGCAACACGGAATTTTATAGTATGTGTAAAGAAAATGACATAACTAGATATAAGACAGTTCCTTATACTCCCTAGCAAAACGAGGTAGTGGAAAGGATGAATATGACCATACTTGATAAAGTAATAAAGTACGTTGCATGATGTTAAATTCTGGTATCCCTAAGTCGTTTTGGAGTGAGGCTATTATGACTGCTTGTTATTTGATTAATTTGACACCATCTACTGCATTAAATGGTGACACTTCACATGAGAGATGGTCGGGTAAGCTCAGTGATTACTCCATGCTTAGAACTTTTAGCCGTGCTACTTTTTCTCATCAGAGTGAGGGAAAGCTGGAACCTAGAGCTAGAAATGGTGTCTTTCTAGGATATCCCGAGGGTGTTAAAGGTTATATGTTAAGGGATAGAAGTCAAAAGGGGGTTAAGATCATCGTGAGTAGAGATGTCACATTTAACGAGAATGAAATGCCGTATATTAAAAGGAAAACTAAACCCGTGAAACTGAACCAGATGAAGAGAGAGATCAATTTAAGGTGGAGTTAGGAAAACTTAGTACACCTGTCCCTAATACTTCTAATGAGGTGGAGATTCATGTTCAGGAACCCTGAGGTGGAAAACGGTCACGAAGTAGTGATCGAATAGCACCCTGAGGAAGAATATCCCTTAGCTAATTACAACCTAGTTAGAAATAGAGAGAAGAGACAAACGAGAAAACCTAGAAGGTTCGATTTTGAGTTTGAGTTAGCTTTCGTCCATGCTAGTTACGAAGAACTAGTCGATAGCGAGCCAAAAACCTTTGAAGAGGCTATGGATCGTGATCAGTCTAAGGAGTGGCTTAAGGCGATGAAGAAAGAGATGAGTTCTCTAGAAAAGAATCAAACTTGGGAGCCAGTACCTAGGCTTAAGAATAAATCGATCGTCGATTGCAAATGGATTTTTAGGGTTAAGGAAGGTACTAGCAGCTCGGAACCCTTAAGGTTTAAGGCCAGGTTAGTAGCTAAGAGTTACACACAGAAGGAGGGAGTTGATTATAATGAAATTTTCTCATTAGTTGTTAAATACACTACTATTAGGGTCATGCTTGCATTAGTTGAGCATTTTGACTGAGAACTTGAACAACTTGATATAAAAACTGCTTTTTACACGGTGAGTTTGACCAACAAATCTTTATAAATCAATCAAAAGGTTTTAAGGACAAGTCAAAATATGATTATGTGTGTTTTCTGAAAATGTCACTGTATGGCTTAAAACAATCACCTAGATAGTGGTACAAGAGGTTTGATTCCTTTGTACTTACTATAGGGTTCCAAAAAAGCAAATTTGATTGTTGTTTGTATTTTCAACACAACAAGACTTATAATAACTATTTGTTTTTGTTACTCTATGTGGACGATATGCTTTTGATTGGTTTTTCTTTTAACTGGATAAGTAATATAAAAACAAAACTAAGTGGTAAATTTGACATGAAAGACCTAAGTAAGGCTAAGAGAATTCTAGGCACGAAAATAGAAAGAGATAGGTCAAATTCTGTTTTGTTTTTACATCAGTCTCCATACAAATCTAAGGTGTTGAAAAATTTAATATGAGTGATTACAAACCTGTCACGTTGCCTCTTGCCAATCATTTTTTTTTATCTAAAGAACAATCTCCTTATAATGGAAGTAAAGTAGAATACATAAGTAGAGTTTCATATTCTAATGTGATTGGTTCCATAATGTACTTGATGGTTTGCCTAAATCGGATTTAGGTTTGGCTATTAGTACCCTTAGTAAATACATGGCTAATCCGAGTCCTGAACATTGGGAAGCATTAAAGTAGCTATTAAGATATTTGAAGGGTACGGGTGACGTGGGTCTAAAATTTAATGCTAATAAGGAAGGTGTGAAATTAAAAGGTTTTGTTGATACTGATTATGAAGGAGATAAGGATGGTAGGAAACCGACTTTCTCTTACGTGTTTACCTTATCTAATTCATGTGTTAGTTGGAAATCATAATTACAACACATTGTTGCACTATCCACTACCGAGTCTGAATATATTACTACAACTGAAACAATTAAAGAGGCTCTACGACTTAGAGGTCTGCTTCATGAACTATGTGTCTTGAATGATTATGTTGTAGTGTACTCTGATAGTCAGACGTCTATACATTTATGCAAGAATCCTATTTTTCACGAACAAACTAAACATATTGACGTTAGACTACACTTTATTAAAGATATAGTATCTCAAGAGGTGATAAGACTTGAAAAAGTTCATACACAAAACAATCCTTCAGATATGGGCATAAAAATGCTGCCATTGATAAAGTTTAGAAGTTACAAGGATCTTCTAAACATTGACACAGGTAATGATTTCCAATTTTTTCGGTTTACTATTAGAGGTGTCGCCAATAGAAGATTTGCAGGTCCTTTGATATCAAGGTAGAGATTGTTAGGCAATTTGTTATCAAACGACCACCCCCGGGCTATGATGTTACTCAACTTAATTTTTCAGTCGGCTTAGTCAGATGATTGAACGGGAATCCAACACCACATTCAAGACGATACGACCCAAAGATTAATTGGGCTACTCGAAGCAACCTAAATAATTTAGTGTTGCTCGTGGCCCAATCCACTTCCTTGGATGGCCATTAACTGAGAGAACAACTAGTGAGCCCGTTTAACTATCTCTTGGGCCTCTAACTTGACCCATTGGTTAACCTACCTATACTTACTTTATTTGGGCCATTTGGTTACAAGATAAATTGGTCTCTTTTTCTCTAAGTGAGAGACGCCTCACTGCCTCTCTCTCTCGGCCGATTTCACAAGTTCTTCTACTCCTCCTGCCTCTTTGCGACTACTATCTAGTGGTGATATTGTATGAGATTTATTACACCTTTGTGGTCTCTTAAGTGAAATATCTCATTGGCAACCGAAAGTGGAAGTTTGGCATTGTCTTAGGTCGTTGTTGTCAACTTGTGGTTGTTAGAAGTGGGTGTAAAAAAAAAAAAAAAAAAAAAACCAACCTGAACCTGGGTTACTTTTGGTATTCAATACATCTTCTACAAAATGATATGTTTAGTGGGATAGGATTGGTTAGAAAACGATATCAATAATGTACATTATTAACAAATAAAACAGAGTCAAATATTAACTATAGTACTTTAAAGTCGTGTATGAAAATATACGACTAACATGCTCTAGGTTTTTGAAAGTAAAAAATAAAGTACCGTTAAGTCGCAGCCATGCATGCATCATCTCGTGAGCTACAATAGATCCCGTCAGCAACCTATACATGCACAATTCATAAAAAAATGGTACTTATTATGAGATCAAAAACTAACAAATCCAAGAAAGCATTCATGTAATAAACTGGCAACTCTTTATTAGAATTGAGCAATTACTCGATATATACACCAAAGAAATTCGATGCGCATTACGCACGATTGAAGTTAGACGAATGGCGGAAGAAAAAGAAGTATAAATTACCTAGGAAGACCATATAAGATGAGAATTGCAGTCACATCAAATTTGCTAGTTAATTTATAAGGCTCTGTTGTGACATCTGTGACTTGATTTCCAGCTCCTATTTTTGGTCGTCTCTGTATCTGTGGACCTCAATGGTAATTGAGACCCGAAGAATGTAACTCAGAAGGTAAGTGAAATATCAAGAATGTCTTTAAAACCCACCCAAAAAAAAAAAGAATTATGTGTTCAAAAAATAAGATCGAAGTATTCAAAAGAGAAGAAAAATGGAAGTCCTAACCTGGTTTACCCTTTTTTCTTCAGAAAGACAAAGTCCTCGAATAATTTCGTACTCCTTGCCATGGTCCTAACAAATAAAAACGGCCAAAAATAGTACGCGTATAAAATGAATGATCAGGCTGGCTTGAATTTAAGATTTTTATTTTTCCCTCTGCTAATTATATCAGGGGCGTTCAGGCCAGCCCTCCATGCCCATTAAATTTGAAGGCAAATGCATCAGCCGAGTAGAAACTGGATTTTTCTTTTTTCTTTTTTTCCGGTCCCCCCGAGTCCCCGACTCCGCATTTATCAAGTCACTTCAAGTGAGAGGAAGGAAAAAATGACCAACACACCCAAAAATAAAATAATGAAGACGATGATGATGATAATACACGAAGTAATATATAGCTACATTTTCTTTATTTAATAATTTAACGTATTGTCTTACAAGTTTCTCTCCGTACATGGCTTCATTCATTGCTTTGAGGTCGACCAAGATCATCGGAAACTCCTGTTCTATCTTCATGTCTAACCCTTCATAGAATTCTTGTACCTCAAGATAAACAGGTTGGAACTCATTTTTATCCATTATTACAGATTCCATGCATTTCAAGCAAAGCTTCCTACCATCATCAAAGGCAACGTATTTTGCCTCCGCTGACTGAATATATTTAACAAGCACAAATATCAACATATAAGCGAATTTCACAATTCTGAATTTCCTAGAACATTGAGATTTTTTTTTTCTTTTTGATTTTATGATTTCATATTATTTAGGGTTTAAGACTTACCTCAGTTAATCTATTACAGCTAGAGCAACGGGGTGTTCCATCACTCCAATGGCTACGACAGGATTTTTGCTTCCAATAAGGATGTAACCAATAAAAAGATCCTGGAAGCTGAAGAAGCATCTCAAATAAATGAAGATATAGAGAATGTTTGGTATGCTATATTCGAATTAATGCAAGAAATAATAAACTATAATCATTTTATCAAAACTACAATAGCATAATGGGTGGAAATTAAAAGTATTTACAATTTATATAACATATCTATTAAAAAATTGCAATTTTTTTCTATAAATGGTAACAAAAAATGATCGAATGAGTTGAAGCAACCAAATAACATAATACATTACAATTTATATAACATATCTATTTAAAAATTGCAATTTTTTTCTATAAATGGTAACAAAAAATGATCGAATGAGTTGAAGCAACCAAATAACATAATACATTACAACTCTTTCTCCTATAATTTAATTTAGTCATAATAAATCTGTCTGAATGTCGTTCGTAAAAGAGAAATTAGAAAAAGAACAGACTGAATAATTTTCCATGGTTTTGAGACACTTACAAATTTCTTGCAAACTTCACATTTGGGGTAAAAATGCTCTTGATAGCAGGCTTTATGATATGGAAAGCTCCCTGACATGGAAAACTGCAGACGGGTTGACGTCAAATTGTTGAACAAAACTAGCCTTAAAATTGACCTTTTAACGTGGATTCACAAGACTCAAGCTTAAATGAGCGGCCAGATTTTATATTTCTAATTATTCTTAAATGAGTTATCATCTTGAGAGGCATGTTAAAAGTAAAATCTCATATTGAAGTATGAAATTAATAAACAACAATATGAATGCTTAAGTTATTATTATAGGATCTCAATATGTGATAATGTCAGCGTAAATCAAATTTAGCCCACCTATATATATATATATATATCATGTTTTTTAAGCTCATTTTCAATTACATATTCTTTTAATAAAATAACTTATATGTAAGTTCAAAATTTTTCATATTTTTTCTAAAAAATCACTTTTTACAAATTTTATTATAAAAAAGCAAGGCTCAAACAATGACTTGGTGATATAGCAATACCATGAGGTGGAAAAATCTATTTAATAAGTATTTCATGAGTTCGACGTGCAAGTGAGAATGGGTGTTACTATAAACCTTGCGTGTGTGTCAAAATATTTTATGTGAATTAACGTAATTATAATTAATTTACTCCTAAGCTCTAATACTAAATTATATTTTAAAAATCTATATTATTGTAAACTTGTACATCTAGAATATATATATATATAT